GATTAGTTAAATAGTGATTTTTTTATACTTTAAAATACAATTTTATACATTTTCAACCCTTAAAAATCAATTGTTATGAGTGCTTTTTTAATAGGTGAAAACAATTTTTTGGCAAAATTTTGCAACTTTTCAACTTTTGAAAATCACCCTTTACAACATTGCAGTTTTTATAAACTAATTTAATAGATATAAATTGAATAAAGTAGAATAAAATACAAAAAAAAATTATCAACATAAAAAGGCACCATATATTTTTATACATTTACATAAATAGTTGAAAATATTTACATTTATAGGTAAAACAATTATAATATTAATTTTATTCGTCATCAATTACATCTTCATCGTGATCTATGTCATCCTCATCTTCTTCAATTATTGGTGGACTATTATTGCACCCTTCACCTGAGTACCCAGAACAAGTAGAGTTATAGAATAAACCAACCTTTCTGCACCCACATGAAACGCCGCATCCTTTTTTGCATTGGCAAAAAATAATTTTCAAAAGTTCATCGGGTGCAGATTGTTTGTTCATGCGTACGGGTAATAACAAACCATCTTTGGAATACCATCCCCAATCTGTTGCTCTGATATTTTCATTGCCAAGCCATAGACATATGAGCCGATGTTTTATTCTGTTGTATGGGATTTCAAAATAAGAACGCTTAAAATTTCGAATGTATAACGCCCCACTACCTAATATACCGGTTTTGTAGATTATTATGCTCCGAAATGTACTGTACTATACTATTGGAATTTTCCGGAAAAAAATTAATTTGTTTTTTAACGTATTTCCTTCATTTTTAACGATAGAGTGTTTCTTTAAAAACGATTTTATAGAGGTTTTTAAGAGCTACAAGGATCTGTGAATTAAATCTTTTTGGAACCCTTGGTTTTTATATGGGGTGAGTTTAAAGGGCTCGAAAAAGATGGTGCTTGATCGTAAATCGATTATTTAAACGGCTATATCTCGCCAAATATTTATTGTACAACAAATCTAAATACACAAAAATTTTAGTCATTAAAAAAGTTACAAGTTAGAACATTTTTTATTTTTTTTTATATATATATATATATATATATATATATATTCAGCATTTTTAAAAAAAGAATATTAAAAAAAAAATTTAAAAAAAGAAGAGATATTTTAAAAAAGAAGGGTAAAAAATTTGAAATTGTAAATCGTTTCTCGCTTTATGCCGTACTTTTTCTAAAACTAAGCATTTTAAATGGGTCAAACTTCTTGGACTTAATTACTATTTATAACTGGGAATAAGCCACAATTAAAGATAAAAATACGTTTATTGACGTTTCAATTTCCAATTCGGAAATCGTTCTCAAAATACAAACAGTAAATTAAACAAATTTTGTTTTTTGTTACATAGTGAAAAAATTCTTCTAATAATTTAATTTTATCTGACTCATTTATATTGACAATTCAGACATACATTATGTATTTTAAAGTAGACGACTTTAAAATGATATTGCCAATATTGTTGAGTTGCGCTCCTGGGACGACTTTACTTATAAGATAGTTCATTCGATTACATGAAATCAACTTTAACTTGAGAATATCCGTCAGAAAAAATCATAGCATGTAATTCGTCTTTAAAAAGACAAACACATGACAAGATCACAGTAAAATTCTGGTTCAATGGAATAATTCAAATATAGTCCTAAAAGAAACGGATGGTAAAAAAAGAAAAATCAAAGAAGCGGCTATAATTATGCTAAATGAGGCCAATTGTGTCGCAAATTCCTCGGCAGAATGTAGTAGGATCTGGTTACCATTATTGAAAGAGGAAGTTATTAATAAGAAAATACCAGTATTAGTAAGTCAGTAACATATAGAGGATACATCATTTATGTTTTTTAAATAACGTAACATATAAAATCAGAATTTTGATGTTTGTTGAAGGTAAACTAAATTCACGAACAAATACTTACAATGTCGGGATAGTATTATGAGGTTTTTTTCCTGGTTTTTCCCTCATAATTTACTATGGAATCACTAACAGGAGAATTTTACTGTCATCATGTCATGTGTTTGTCTTTTTAAAGACGAATTACATGCTATGATTTTTTCTGACGGATATTCTCAAGTTAAAGTTGATTTCATGTAATCGAATGAACTATCTTATAAGTAAAGTCGTCCCAGGAGCGCAACTCAACAATATTGGCAATATCATTTTAAAGTCGTCTACTTTAAAATGCATAATGTATGTCTGAATTGTCAATATAAGTGAGTCAGATAAAATTAAATTATTAGAAGAATTTTTTCACTATGTAACAAAAAACAAAATTTGTTTAATTTACTGTTTGTATTTTGAGAACGATTTCCGAATTGGAAATTGAAACGTCAATAAACGTATTTTTATCTTTAATTGTGGCTTATTCCCAGTTATAAATAGTAATTAGTTTACAATGCCACAAGAAAATAGCTTCAGAACTTCTTGGACGTATTAACAATACATGTACAAAGAGAATTGCAGAAGGCTGAAGATCGATTTGAATTATGGTGGTGGTTAGGGGGTTGTTTTCATCGATTTTTTCGTAAAAAAATGAGGTATTGACCTTATTTTCATAATAACTCACCTAATTTTTGAGCTAGAGTCTTTTTTTATGATAGGTCTATTTATTTTCCCGATATTTGACTGAATCTTTCAAATTTGGCATTTGAAGAACACCGCCGAACATTGATAGGCCGTATTTCGGTTCCTGTTTGTATTGTATTTGCATTTTTAAAAGCTACAAATTTGTTCTCTACAATTTTTTTTATAAAATGTACCATTTTCGAGTTATTCGCGAAAAACCGATTAAAAACGTTGATTTTTTCGTCTAAAAGTTGTTACTTTCAATCGCGAATAACTTGAAAAATATCAGTTTTACAAAAAAAAATGTATAAAACATTTTTTGTTTAGAATCACTTTTTTAATCGAAACCTGTAGTTAAAACGTAAAAAAAAATTTCAGCCCCGAGATGGGGTGCCAACCGCCCCCAAGGCTTTGGCGCACTTTGGTTCGATATAGATTTTGATCCTTGGCTATTACTTACCTTTTGTTAAAATTTCAAGTCAATCAACCCAGGACGAAAAAATTGCGAGGTGAAATGCTTCATTTCCTGGACTATAAGTGGTTTGACAGCTTAATAAAATCGATTTATCGCTTTCAATTTTTATGATTTCAGAATCCAGCAGCCCGCTGAAGTATTGGATTTTTATAATATAATTATTTGACAACCTTTTGTTGGTCAACCACCTACAGCAGAATTGAGCCGAAATACATAATATTCGTATGTTCCGAATTTATTTCGTTCAATCTATATATATATATATATATATATATATATATATATATATATATATATATATATATATATATATATATACATATATATATATATATATACATATATATATATATATATTATATATATATATATATATATATATATATATAATGAATCGTGGTTGAGTGTATGAGATAACGCGCGCAAATGTTTACATATATAATAAGAATAATTGAGCGAGATTGCAATATTATAATAAATGTCGAAAGTTCATAAATTTGTGTTTTATATAGAGTGTTACCTCTATTTTCTGTATGTGTGCTGCTTGTATGGGGGCACAGTCGTGGCTTGTCTTAGACGACGAGTTCTGGGGGTGCAGCGTAGGTTACTCGTAGACGGGCACAATCGTGGCTTGGATGACGAGTTCTGTGAGTACAGCGTGAGTTGCCTGTAGATGGGCAGAATCGTGGCTTTGACGACTAGCTCTAAGAGAGCAGCGTAGGTTGCCTGTAGACGGGCAGAGTCGTAGCTTGGACAATGAGTTCTGAGAGAGCAGCGTAGGTGAAGTGATTCAGTTCGACTTCTTGTTTCTGGTGAAATCTGAGAACGTTTTCTGATGTCCCACCAGGGGTACTAATTATTGTTGTGAATTGTATGGCTACACCTCGAGAAGCGGGCCAAACTTTGGAACTCGCTAAATGTATTATCTACAACTCAAGAAGCGGGCCAAACGTTGGAACTCGCTAAGTATGTGGACTTGGATTAAATAATCCTTCGTCGAAACAATTTCTACGTCGAACTGGTAATATAATATTAAAGTGTGTTTGTGTACCTGTTTTTAGCGAGAAGTGGACGAGACAAAAACCTCATTTTATTTGATTTGAAATATATCGACAATAAGAGAATATATTTTCGTATTATCTTAATAATTGTAAAAAAATAATGAGGGATTATTGGAAATATGTTAAAACTTTAACAAGGAACCGTTTAGTTTTAATTGTAGTCTATATTATAAAATGAAATACTAATTGTAGAAATAATTCTGTGTGTTTAATATGTGTTCTATTAATATTCTATATTTCTTTATTTTTATATCCATAGGCGTTTTATATACATAAGCT